ATATACTTTATCAGTCAATTTTTTTTATCAAAAACAAATTTCTATTTCGAGCGTTAAATTACGTAATAATGAAAATAAGTAAAGTTGAAGTTGTCTTTCAAATAAGAAAGGTGCGATACCAATTGCGGTGCCGTTTCTTTTTTTTTTCAAATGCACATGGAGCACTAAGAACATTTTCTCCCTTTTCCCTCAAACCCTCCAGATTTCTTACTCTTTATTTTTCTTTTTTCTTTTCTTCAATTCTTTTTTTGTCTCCATCAAAATACTAAAAGTTAATTGTGATTTTATTTATCTTTAACTAACTCAATTATAATTCAATTAACCTTTTTTCCTTACCAATTTAATACAACATTTTATTAATCCACAATGATTAAGTGTATTGTATATTTGTATTTCAGAATTATATACGGAGTACTATTTTTTTTTTCTTCAACTGAAATTGCTACAAAATTTATTTTTGTCTAATATATTTTTTGAATTTATACATTTTTTTGTGAAATATTTTTCATATTCATACACTTTCTCTATAATATATTTCTTATCTCTTTAATATGTTTTTAGTGTTTTTAAAACATTAAGTTTGTCTATTTTGATTTAAATTTGATAAAACATGAGATTATATTTTTCATATGTGTGAGTTATGGTTATTGATAATTTCTGGAGTTAAATTAGATAATATATGAAGTTACATCTTCTTATTAGCGAGCTACATCTTTTTATGTTTGAATTATATCTTTCTATGCGCGAGTTACATTTGACTTGTCTCAACAAGTTACATTTTGCATAAATCTAAGTTAAATTTTTCATCAATGCGAGTTCTATTTTTCATAACATCAGTTAGATCACAAATAAACTCTTGCTAGCTATTGAAACAAAACAAAAACATTTTTTGGCAAAAAAATATGTTTCTTGGCAAAAAAGATTTTTTGGGCAATTCTTTTTTATATTTTTTATAGCCTTAATATTATAAAAATTCACTATTTATATAAACTAATTAATTGAGCAAATAGTCATTGTTTTAATTACTTACATTTGATAGTATATGAAATTACATTTTTTATGCGCGACTATATCTTTATATGCGTAGATACATCTTTATGTACTCGAATTACATATGAACTTATCTCAAGAACTTACATTTTGCATACACCTAAGTTAGATTTGTCATCAAGACGGGTTGCATTTCCCATCACAAGAGTTACATCACAAAATAAACTCCTACTATTGAAACAAAAAAGATGATATTTTTTAATCAAAATCTGATTTTTTTGGTCACAAAAAGATTTTTTTAAAATGATTTTTTTTTAAATTATGGCTATAATATTAAAACAAAATATATTAATTATTTACGAAAAGTAATTAGGCAACTCGACTACTTTTTTCATTATTTACATTGAAAACAATGTTATATTTCTGAAAACCGATATAACACATGTTACATTTGGATATTAACACGAGTTACATTTTTATACACGCGAGTTATATCATCCTGGTAGCGAAACACAATGCTCACCATGGTTTTTTGCATTATATTAGGTCATTTAATTTGGACCCTTTATTTATGACTAACATAAAATACAATGTCGTAATTATTAAAGCTAATGCGCGCCGTGCTGACTTTTGTAACTGCTTCACAGATTGCCACAATGTCACCATATTTTGTTTTCGCAAAAAGTTGCAACCAACCGTATAAAATATTTAGTATATGATTAAAAAAAGTTATTTGTAAAATGATGATTTCTTAAATATAGTGAATAGTAAAATATAGTAAAAACTTTAATCATAATAATTTATAATTAATTTTCACATCTAAGAATTGAACATAATCATAAATAAAAGTGACGTAGTTACACTTTTAATTAATTTATCCTCATTATAACTACATATTAGGTATTATTATTTCTCTGATATATATCTTAAAAAGTTTGTAACAGTACTCTTCTTAATTATGAGTTTTCTTATGCACATTTTACATAGAATCAGTTTGGTGACTATGATTTTCAGCTTATGAGCTTTATCAGCCAATTATTTCACCAAACGTGTAACGTTTGATTCTATGCGCTAAGTTGTGTAACAATAAAAAAAATAAGATTGAAGTTACTTTTCTGATTGTATTGGCTAAAGTTACTGTTGTGTTAACAAATTTTTGCTATTTTTCATATTTTTATTTTTATTAATAGAATACATCTCAAAAACAAATTTTTCAGAAATTCAGCATAATTAGCTAATCCAGTCACTTCAGTCAGAACTTCATAAATTTCAGTAGAACCACCCAATTCAGTCAACTTCAGTGTTATCTAATGGGCTCATAATATGACCGAAATACGTAGGTTTTTGCAAACAGCATTATTTATCAACTAAAAACTTGTTCTCTACTCAATAAATAGCATCTACTTCATATACTCCATCCTAACTTTTCTATTAAAACAACTAATTTGTAGTTCTGCGCATTTTTCTCTGCTTTGAACAAATCTCAATCACACAATTTTTTATTTTTCTTATTTTCTACCTACCGTAAACTTGGCAAAGTCCTCATGGATGAATATAATACGTAGTACTAATTAACACCGTCCTTTTTTTTTTTGTTTTTTCTAAAGACAACTTCAACTTTTTTAGTTAGAAAGAATTGGCGAAAAGGTTTTTTAGGACATCATTCAAAGATTCGGCTCTGCGCACTCCGGGTTATATTGCGGGAGTGAATCCATTATCACGTACGCATAAACAATAAATTGCGTGCTCCTTAGTCCTTTCTGCCTACTCTTCAATTTTTCCTCATTAAGTTGGGGACGTTGGAATGGACGGACCAAAGCACAACAATTAAGATTAATTAATATTATCTCTGCTAGGGGTGGGCATGGTCGGTTAACCGGGTTTTGGTTAACCGAGAAACCGGTTACTATTTTTTAACCGAGTATCGGTTAACAATCACTTCGGTTAACCGAGTATCGGTTAACCATAACTTCGGTTAACCGCTTTGCGGTTAACCAAAAACCATAAAACCACAAAATATTAATAGTAAAATCAAATATGAATAGAAACTTTCCAAAAAATGCAGGAATTAAAATAATACACCACGTATATAATTATAATACTGCAAACTTAACAAGATGCTATAATACAAACTCCAACAAACTATAATTATAATACTACAAACTATAATAATGACGTATCTAAAATCTAAAATACTGCCATTTTCTAAAACTTTATCCATATTTAGGTATCAATCACATTTATCTAAACTTTATAGTTTATTCATAGTCAAGTCAATGTCTATTCTACTATAAATATAATTCAATAAGTTGACAGAGTCACATATATTACAAACTCCAGCAAATATAAACTTCGTTATATTTGTGTACGACTTAAGCTAGATTAATAAGATTAATATTGAACTTTCTATTTAATACTCCGGTATCAAAGTTATTTGAGAATTGATGAAGTTCTAATCTTATTAATTATTACAGAATAAAAAGTAGGCGAGTTGTTTCATATGTATCTAGGATTCCGGGTAGTGTTTTTTGAAATATACGACCAACGACCTTAAATTAGCTTATTGGTTACATACGAAGCATGTATTATTTGAAATACCGGTTAGCGGTTAACCGGCCATATCTTATTTTCAAAACCATAACCGTACCGTGTACCGTTTTTTCTTGCGGTTGGTTAACCGTACCATGATTTAATTAAAATCGGTACGGTTAACCGAAAAAAATAACGGTTTTTTCGGTTTTTCGGTATGGTTAAACGGTTACGGGCTTTTGTGCCCACCCCTAATCTCTGCCCTATTTAAAGGTTTCTGTTTATTATTTTCGGATTAACATAATTTATTCTTAGTCTTTTATTTTATATATTTTCAACTTTTATCAAATTTAATCTTTCATTTTTAAGACTTTTTAAAAGTTTTAACATAGTTGCACGATATGTAAAAACATGTTTTAGAATTTCAAAATAGGACAATTATATTTTTCTTTTAAAAATATGAGCCGTTATTGCCATAATTTAAAAAATATTGCAATGATTGAAAAATATTATCATTAATGATAGGAAAAATTGCTATTTTTAATGGCTAGTATATATTGCAACTATTTGACCGTAATGACTACGTAATACTACCTCCGTCCCAAATTGATTTACAAAATTGACTTTTCTTGGTCTAACGGTTTCATTTTATTTGCTTAACTGGGATGTCAATTTTTAATTATATTCAAGTTTGCAACTTTGAAGAGATTTTGATGTAGTTTCTGAATATGTAAATTTTAATTATTAAAAAATGAGTTAATTATCAATAGGGAGGATTGACTTTTATTATTGATTGATCAAAATATATTGATTTTCCAAAATAATTTGGGACTGAGGGAGGATAAGATAGCAATCCTATTGAAGTCAAAAACCTACATATTCTTATTTTGGGAACTTTCCCAAATTTAATTTACCAAAATAATTTTATTATTAACAGGAATAAGTTTTAGGGAAAGTTCCATAAATAGGAGTTAAAAAGTTTTGAAATTTCAAATAGGACTGTCATATTTTTACTCCCTAAATATGAGTAATTTCAAGTTTTTTCCAAACATGGCAGAAATTACTCCTATTTAGTGAATAAAAACATGAAGATCCTATTTTGAAATTTCAAAACGTTTTTACTTCTATTCACGACAATTTCTATTAATTTTATTCTCAGTCAAATGTCGTAAATCACGTGGAACCTTTAATTGGGACAAATGGAGTACTTATAATTATTAACACAAAAACCTTTTGTACACACTCTTATACACATTTTTTTACACACCTATGTTTGTGAAAGGTTTTTTTTGTCTGTGAACAAAAAAAATTTCACAAACATGATATATATAAGATGTGTACAAAGGTGTGTACATCAAGCAGTTTTGAATTATTAATTATCTTGCATAAAATAGATCCCATTAATTCTTTAGTTCTTTTTGGACGCACATATATATGAGAAAAAGGGTGCCAGCTGGCCTGGAGCATATGTGTACATATATAAAGAGAGAGGCAGGCAATTGAATTGGTGGATAGAATATAATAGAGCATAGAGTAGAAGACAGAAGGAATTGAAGAGATAGAAAATGGAAGGAGGGGTACGAATGGCGATGGAGATGCTGCTGGTTCAGGCTATCGCGACCGGCTTACAGCTTCTGTCGAAGGTCATTTTGGGACAAGGAGCTTTTGTCTTTGCTCTCATGACTTACCGCCACATTGTTGCTGCTTTCTGTGTGGCCCCTTTCGCTTTCTTCCTCGAAAGGTATTTTATTCACGGAAAGTCTTTCATACACGCTCGATCCGTGTGTACTACACGCTCCACTTCGATATGTGTCATAGACAATTTATTTTTTCGATTTTAAAACGATTTGTCTGAGCTCTTTCATTTTTTTATATCACAGACATTTTGCCTTAAAAACGATAAATTGTCCGTGGCACAGAATGGCGCGGGGCGTGTACATGGCGTGAGACATCTGATGTGTACATAAATCCGCGTTGTTTATTTAATTATATATTTATATAGTCCACACACATATATATTAGTTCGAATTATTTATGTTTACTTGTTCCATCCAATTCATCCAGTTTGAATTCAATTCTATCTCTATCTATGCTCCAGGGATAGTGTGAAGAAATTGAGTTTTTCTGCTGTGATATGCATCTTTTTTGTTGCATTATCCGGGTACGTATAACCTACTCCAACTCCAGTCTATGTATTTATTTGTATTAATTCTAATGCATACCAATATGGCAATATAGTGTATTACACTATTTACCTCTGACTTTACAAACTTTTCTTTTTAGTCAGTTTCGAAATTCGTAATTTTGTTTTTTTCACCATTTTCTTCGTCATTTCCTCATTCATCATCATTTTTTCATTTTCATTGTATATTATTTGTATCATGATTTTTGATCGAGATGGGTCTGATATCATGGAGACTTATATTTCTATCCTAAATGAATAGGAAGAGTTCATAAGTTTATATATTATGAGTGTGATACCAATATTTCAACTATTTAATTTACTAGATTGAGAACTATTAGTTGGCTGAAATAGATTTGTTTGCCTTTGTGAGAAAATATGGTGGCATTTATATATATATATATAAACAATTCAGTTTTTCATCAGCCTTGTCTTGAACAGAAATGTCAGTCGTTAGGAACTAAAGATGTTTTTAATATGTTTAAAATTTCCCGGTTGGTCATTTATTAAGATATTTTTTCTAATTAGAATTCTAAAAGTTTATTTATTTATTTGTTTGTTTGTTTATTTATATCAACCTAATTCCCTACCCAATAGAGTACTCCAAATTTATTTTTTCATTTCAACCTGATCTTGGTTTAGATATTTATCCATGTTATTTACTAAATTAACATTTTTATATTCAGGCAATATAATTACATTCCATCAGGAGATAATATTACTTTATCAGATTTAAGAAATCGAATAATCATATGCCAATATTTTGTTAGAGAAAGAAAGTTGGTGGAATCACCACAACTACACTCAAATCTGGAGAGATTTTCTAAAACGTTACTCTCATAAAAGAATACCAATACATAATTACTTCCCCGCTATGATTGTCTCATTTTACTTTATCGGTTCGTCCTACTAAGATTGTCTCACACCAAATTTGATAAAATTTCTGTGACTCTAAATCATTCTTACTTTATTTTTACTTTATCAATTTAATGTCAACCGTATAAAACATTTTTTTATTAATTTGTGTGTCACTCCCTCTTGTCTCATTGTTGAGTATTACGTATTACTTGTAAAAAACAACGGTTTTAATTAAACCTTTTTATCCACCGATTTTAAAACTTTACTTAATAAATTACAGGACTGTGCACGAGTTTATTTATTCGCATTTTGGTATACTTTTAATGAATTTTTATGAATATTCATATATTGTATATTGTTGCGACAAAGAATTATGAATTATGGATTGACTAATACGCCATGTGTCGAAGCTAAACTGAAGCTCTTGTCTTTTCGTTGGATTCGGATTCCTCCATTAATCCATTTCATTATTGTCTTTATTCTTTTCCACAATCTTTTGTTTTTAATTTTAAATAAACACCCACTTGATAAACAACGAATATGATCTAGTATCAATTATTTCAGGTGGTTGGTTAGTTTGAAAAAACAATGAGCCCGTTCGATAAGGTTGATATTATTCGAATCTTTCAATCGATTGAAAATGTTGAACTAGTTAAATTTCTTGAATTATAAAAAAGTTGTTAGTAAAATCAAGATAAAATAATACGGAGTATTAAAAAATCAAGATGCTTCTCTTTAATTAGCTTATTATTATTATACACCAATGTTCAAAATCAAAAGCTTAGTGTTTAGTAAGAAGTTAACTTCAAATGTTTTAAATTGGACAGAAACTTTCTAGATTAGTAGATGTCTGGTGGGGGTGTTTGGTAAATGACGGTGTAGTCAAAAAATGACGGTTTGATCACTTTTAGCGCTTTTAATAAGGGAAAAAACTATTTGGTAAATACTATTTGACACTAGCATTTTTGGACAGAAACGCTGAAATGAAAACGCTACAAATATGAGAGTTTTGGGTAGTGTTTTGAAATATGACATTTTCTACTAATTTTATGGCCAAACAGCTAAATTATGAAACACTCTTTGAGAACCCCTGTCAACTTACTCTGCTGGTCAAACCCGATAACTGAGTCCGCTATTGATAATCCGCTAACCGATAACCGCTAAATGTCAAACACGTCATATGTATTTTACAACTATGGAAGTATGTTCTAGTCTGATCTGGCCTGGACTAAACGCTTCTAGTCTAATCTAATCAGATCTAGAGGATGTTTGGCAACACTGTTTTTCGGCTTATCAGGCTTCTCAGCCAACTTTTTCACCAAACACGTAATTTTTGCTTTCGCGCGCTGAATTGTGTAATAAGCAGAAAAAGTAAGGTTGGAGTTACTTTTCTGGTTGTATTGGCTCAAGTTACTGTAGATGATCATCTTAGCTATTTTCACATATGATTTTTTCTTTGTTTTATTAAGAAAATATATTTTAAAAATAATTTTTTCTTAAATCAGCAGAATCAGCCAATACAGCTACTTCAGCCAGAACTTTATAAATTTCAGCAGAATCAACCAAATCAGTCGATTTTCGTGCTATCAAATGGACTCCTAGTCTACCTAGCCTAGTCTAATATGAGACTGAAATAAGTTTAAATAAAAACATTCTAATAACCCGAAAAACGTGTTAAAATGGATTCATTGTGTCTAATATATAAAGGAATGGATAATGGATTTACATTGTGGTTTATACATGTACCTCTCTCTTATATCTAGAATCAATTTCAGCACCATAATTATTTGTTTTTGTAAATCTGTATGCCGCCTTTGGAGATTAAAAGTGGGTGTATAGTATGTGTTTTATGTATATCTATATTGATAGACATTATGATTTATGAATATTCAACAATAATTTGTATCACTTTTAACTCCAATCCTGATCCGGATAAGCCTAGCTTAGTTAGTGTTGAAAGAAAACCAATCGAAATTGACAACTTTAGTGATTGAAAGATACCATTAAATTTTGCAAAAAAAAAAGAAAGAAAGATACCATTAAATCGATGTACATGATGTTGAAGGTTTGGGTACGTGTATTATTATGTACACGCATTAACCTCTCATATTCGTTAACATCTACACGTGGCTTGATCAGGGCCCTTTTATGTTTGCTAAAATTCTTCATTGAAATTATTATTAATAGAAAACTTTTATGGCACGTTAAATCTGCAAAAGGTTTTGTGCACTGTCCTATATATATCCACAAGTATTTATTGACACGTGTTTCTTAAATGTTTTCTGTACATAATATTTTACGTATAGCATTTAAAATATGGCTATAAATCAGAATGAAAGATGAGTCATACGAATAAATAATGGTATAAAAAGGATTGGTCTAATAAAAGAATAAAATGGTTGTAGCTGCTTCAATTCTTGTAGGAGTTAATGCAACTTATTTATTTATTGATCATTTGCATCGTATAAATTATCGCATTATATAATGTGAGTTTTTGTTAATGTCTTCATAATACAATATCATTGAAACAAGATAATACAATATCATTGAAACAAGATTTATTGATAAATTATAATTGCATTTGCATTGTCCCTGATGATGCTTCCACGACTAATGCAAATGGTTAATTTATACTCCCTCCGGTTCTGAAAGATCTTTACACTTTCCATTTTTAGCAGTACCAGAAAGATCTTTACACTTTCCATTTTTAGCAGTATCAGAAAGATCTTTACACTTCCTTATTTGCATTATTTGGCAAATAAATCTACACAAAACAGTGTCAATCAATGTCAAACAGTGCCAAATAGTGCTAAATAATGTTTATTTCCTTAAGAACTGTGAAAACAAAATGTCAAGATCTTTTAGAACCGGAGGGAATATAAAAAGATACCCACCTTCGTTGCACCGAAAAAAGAATCGATCAGTACACATAAAGATTTGTTTATGTGTGCGTATATGTATATGAGTGGGTGACCCAGGCCGACCTGATAGGCTCGTCGTCCAGCCGAGGCATTTGAGGCCCTTTTTTATGGCATTATTTGATAAAATATTTTGAGCAGTTTCATCATCAAATATGGTTTATTTTCACCAAATTTAAATTTACAATTTAATCAGAAAAGCTGTCAAATAAATTTTTGAAACAAACTACGTTGTTTGTATATAAATAAAGCACATGCTTTGTAAATATTTTATTTAATTATCTTCCTAGTTGAATTTTTAGCTGAATTTTGTCATTAATAAACTAGACTTAATGAATATATATATATATATATATATATTGAAATATTTCCGCTTTTGATCCTACATGATTGGACCAATTCCACAATTGGTGCACATCTTTGATTTTGATCAATTTTGATACATGACTATCACTTTTCACCCATATATGGTCCTACTGTTGAAATTTCCGGTGGTTGAATTTTCTAGAAAGGCATTGGAAAATTGGACGGAAGGACCACAAATGGTAAAAAATTAATACTCCGTAATTAAGTATCAAAAGCGAACAAATTGAAATATAAGAACTAAATGTGAAATTAGCATAAAATCATCAAAAATAAAATTAATTATATACTCCGTATTATTTGTATGTATGAACTTTATTTTACAATTTCATGCTTATATATCCTAGGACTACTTGATGTTAAAGCTTGTTAAGATGACATCAAGATTACTGCAGGATCACTATGGCTATGGGATTCTTTTTTTATGGTCTCCAAAACACATCAGCAACTTATGCTACCAATTTTCTCAATCTAATTCCAATAGTAACCTTCATCTTCTCGATAATAACTCGGTAAGATAATACAGTTTTTCATCACCCACTTAATTATATAGAGAGAATTCTTTAAATAGGAGTAAAAGAGTTTTGAAATTCCAAAATAGCAGTATCATGTTTTTTATTCCCTGGATAGGAGTAAATTTATGCCAAGTTTGGCATTAGCAGGCTTTAAAACATGGCATTCTTTTCCAAACTTGGCAGATTACTCCTATTCAGGGAATAAAAAATATGATACTCTTATTTTGGAATTTCAAAACGTTTTTGCTCCTATTTAGAGCAATTTCTAAACTATATACTACGTATTACCTTACAAAAGTCAAAGTTTGTACAAAGTGATCAAAATTTTATCTTTGTTGGGCATTGAAGTGTAGAGAAGTTGAGATTGAAAACCAAGGCTGGAAATATTATACTCATTGGAATAATGTCATGCCTTGCGGGAGCGTTGACAGTTACATTATACAAAGGCAAAACATTTCATCTCTCTACACTCAACATCAACAATCAGGCAATTGCCCCTACTGTGAAACCAAATTGGGGACTTGGAACTATCTTTCTGGTGTGTAGCTGTATAAGTTATGGTTTCTGGTTCATTATTCAGGTAATCGCTTTGATTAACCAACTACTAGTTAAAAGGTACTTATAATATTATGTAGTATGAAACCAAGTAATTGAATGGTTTGATTGTGAAGGCAAAATTGTTCAAGATATTTCCATACAAGTATTCCTCAACCACTCTTACATGCATATTTGCCACATTTCAAAGCATCGTGGTGGGTTTATTCATTGATAGAACCAAAGCTTCCTGGAAATTGGGATGGAATTTGCAACTAGTTACTATACTCTATTCAGTAAGTATCTCATGTTTCTTTCTTTCTTTGAATTTCTAAGACCTAGATTCTCACATTAAAATATTTACCAGCAACATCATGAACTCTTCTAATCAATTTTTATAGGGTGCATTAGCTACAGCAGCAACATTTTGCTTAATCTCATCAGCAGTAGCTCAAAGAGGTCCAACTTATCCATCCATTTTCAATCCGCTATCCTTAATATTGGTAGCCATTGCAGAGTCTGCTTTACTTGGTTCCTCCATTTCAGTGGGAAGGTTAGTTATACTTAATATTCTCGATACATTTTGATTTATGTTAGTCATATTTATATGCTAAACATATATATCTAATTGCAGCTTGATTGGTATGACATTAATCATTCTGGGATTGTATTTATTCCTATGGGGAAAGAACATGGAGATCAAAACCCTAATTCTGTCAACAATGAGAAAAACTGAAGCTCAAGTAACAGCAGTTGGTACTAGTTCAATGCAATCAACGGCTGTTGTGGTTCCAACATCTTCCCCAAATGAGAGGCACATTTATATTGACTGTGCCGAGGAAGATGAGGACATGACAAAACCTAGGTAGAAAATGTAGAAAATGATGTTTTTCTATTTATTTGTTGGTGAATTGAAACTAATTCCGACAGGACCTTCTCATGCATCAATGCCACCACATGTAATCTAATTTGGCAGATCAAATTGATTTTTTAGTTGTAGCTGAAAATGTAATCTATCTTTAAATTTTTTATGTAATGCAAATGTAAAACTAATATTATATTTAGATATCATTTGCTTCATTATTTTATATTTGCACCATGGTCTTTTTTGTGTGAACATTTACACCATGGTCTTAATTGAAAACAGTCCAAAAGAAAAGGATGTTTTCTTTTGGATTGAAATTTGCTGGTCTGGTCTGATCTGGTTTGTTTAAGTTTGATCTGATCTAGTCTGGTCCTAAGGATGTTTTCTTTTGGACTGTTTTCAGTCGCAGATCAGACTAGGCCAGATCAGGTCAGACCAAATCAGAACAGACCAGATCAAACTTAGACAGTTATAAAATACACAGATCAAGACCAGACGTTTACCACACCAGACCAAATCAGACTTAAATAGACCTATTAATTGGGTTGACTTATGGTGTGGGCCCCTCGTAAAGGGGTCAGTACAATCGTACTTCACCCGTGCAAAAGGTGCAGGTAACAAGCTCTAGCTTCAACTTGAAAATGGTGAGGGCCCCTGAAGGGGTCAGTACACTCGTACTGGCGATAAGCATGCTAAATGTAAAATAACTAATATTTCAAGAATAACACCCAAACAAAAGATGATACATAAGCATATTGTTCCCCCCCAAGTCTTTGAATACATATACGTATATACACTTGGAAAATACCCGACCTGTAGATCATTTGATTAAATCAATAAAATCATGGTGGACTTGGTCCTTGAATTTCCCCCGTCCCCATATTCAACCCAGTGTTTAGGTTTCCCACTATAACCTATGGTTCATTAGTTATATAACGGGGTGTCGATAGCCTTACTCTGCCACCTGGTCACTCTCCCAATAATAACAAGTTTTAAGGACATCGTCTGGCCCCAGGGTACTTCACCCAATTTCCGAGTTTTAGGACACTGCCCAGACTCAGGGTACTCCACCCAAATCGATGAGTTTTGAGGACACCACTTGAACCAATGACCTACCATATACATACCTTAATCGGGTATGGTCTATACCATATCATTACTAATTAATAATCCAAGCCTTAGCATCTAAACACAATATGCCATGCAAATCCATGCAAAATGTACATATATAGATTGGTCAGTGTCAGTTCTATCTTGAACCAGCACTGGTTACCTTTTTTTAAGAATAAAATGCATAAATGGTCCTTGAACTATCACCATCATATCATTTTGGTCCTTGAACTATTAAATCTATCATTTTAGTCCTTAATCTATTTCATCTATATTAATCGAGTCCTTCCGTTAAATTTGCAGTCTACTTTGATGGAAACTAATTAATTTATTAACATCTCATAATTTCAAACATTTTGGAACAATACAATCATTCTTGAAATTTAAGTAGCTAATCTAATTTTTTTAAATATACATATATATGTACACATACACATATAAAAATTATAAACAAATAATATAAAATCAAATGTACGGCCTAAATAATACGTGGTATATAAGAGAGAATCAAATAATCAATTATATGCATATGAGCAGATAAAGTTAAATAAGAAAACGAGGGTGATTGTTATTATTATTTATATTAAGAAAAAAATTAAAATTGGGTATGACTAAAACTCATCCACTTTCTCAATACATGACATCATTAGTTCCCCCCCCCCCCCCCCCCCCCCCCAAAAAAAACTCCGTATTTAAATTTGTAATATTTAATAAAATAAATAAATTAATAAATTTTATGGACAAATTTTGCCCTTACATTTTTTACCAGAATATACTCTTAGATTGATATTATAAAACTCTAAGTTCCTACTCATTTCCTAAAAACCACATCCCGGCAACACACACCTCCCCCGTCGTCGCGGCCATCCCCATGCGCCGGCGTCGTTTTCATAAAGTAAAAATGATATAGAACCACACAAGTGAGAGTTGAGAGCTTGTTTCTCTCACTAGAACTTTTCTAGTTTGCTCTACTACTTTCCAGCACCGCCATTCGCTACTTTTCTGGATATATATATTTACATTTTATCCAAAAAGATATTGACGGAGTATTAACTCCTAGAGAGAAGGGAGAGCTAGAGAGATAAAGTGATATATAAATGAATTTTCAACCCTTTACATTTCTCCCTAGGGAGTATTTATAGGAGAAAAGCGGGTTGGGCTTCTAGGCTTGGGCCTGGTAGGCCAGTTACAATAAAAGGCCAATAAATGGCCAATAAATGATGTTTAATCTATTCTAATGGGTACAAATGAATAAATAGAGTGTACAATGAGATAAATGCTATCTACTGAGCATACGTGGGCCGCTATCCAGGCCCAATAGTCGTGAGACTCGGGGATCCGAGTCTATATACTCTATCAGGAGTCCCCCACTCTCTGAGTCGAGGGTACTCGAGGCGAAAGAGGGTAGAACTGTGTCTATATACTTTATTTACTTTTATTTCATCTTTGTGAATGTTGGTTTGTTAATTGGTCTAAAATCTTAAGCTATATGTATTAATGAATTACTTTAATTATGTTAGAATTGGGATTCATTTTTATTCTCAACTTTTAACTTGCAGATGATAATTCTGACTATTTCACAATTGAAATGGTCTGTGGAGGTCCTCCTGCCACCGTAAACGGGCAATTCGAGCGTAGATGTATTACAATTAATTATTTCGATTTCTGTGAAATGGATAAGATGTCATATATGGAGTTGGTGGCCATGGCAAAGGAAATTCAGCATACCGGACTGGTTTGTTTTTTATTGGAAACGTTATACCCCCAATGTAGAAGAATCTCCTTTTCTATTAATAGTGGGTGATGAAGATGTTTTAGAAATGTGTAGAAATCGACCATCTGACAGGCAAGTAACAATCTACCTTAGTTATGAATTAATGCCAATGTTGGATCATACTATGATCACATGTAGTGTTCCATCTGATGAACAACTCTTGAAACAAGTTAAAGGGTATCGAAATGCCGAAACAAGTAGCGAGTCTGACAGTGATAGTGAAAGTGATTTTTATGATTCTGAGTATGACCTAGATGATGTTGAAGATGATAAACTTTTTGAACAAAGTGTTCAACCCAATATGGAGGAAGATGGTGGAGGGATTAATGGAGGTTTTACAAGTAGGGGAATCATTGTTGAAGACACTCTAAATGATGATATTAGAGATGATGAAGAAATTGATGAAGTCAATTTATCTGATGATCTATTCAGAATGCATGAAGATAATAACGAGGAAGAAGTTGAGAAACCTGAAAAGGTATGGTCTGAATTTAATTCCATCAGTGATATTGATGATCCGATTTTTTGTGTTGGCATGTTGTTTTCTTCCAAGCGTGTTCTCAAAAGTGCTATAAAAATGCTTCTATTAAGGATAGGGTGCAAATTAAGTTCAAAAAATGATAAGATTAGACTTAGGGTTGTATGTAAGCCTGGATGTGAGTGGATGCTATATGGTAGTAAGTTGAAAGCAGAAGAAGATGATACAACTTTTCAAGTTAAGACATTCATTTCTACACACAGTTGTTGTAAGGAATATGGGAATAGAAACATGGATTATAAGTGGCTGGCAGATAAATATTTACATTGTTTCTTAGTTGATCCCACATTATCAATTCCATCATTTGCCCACTTAGTATATAAAGATTTTGTTATCAACGTTCCTCTAATGAAGCTTTGGAGAGCTAAGAACTTCGCACTTCAGAAGCTACAAGGTACTTATGATAATCAATACTCAAGCATTGGTAAGTATATTGTTGAGTTAAAAAGGGTTGATCCAAGGAATAGTGTTTTATGTAAGCTGGATTTGGGGATTTTTCAGAGATTATTTGTTGCATTAGGACCTTGTTTAGAAGGAATGAAATTTTGTAGGCCTTTAATTGGCTTGGACGGAACTTTCTTAAAAGGTAAGTATGGAGGGCAGTTACTAGCAGCAGTGGGTTTGGATGCAAACAATTGCATATTTCCTATAGCATTTTTTATTGTGGAAATCGAGAATACAGAAACTTGGACGTGGTTTATCAATCTGATCAAAGAGCATCTCCAAATAGAGAATCCCCATAGCTGGACATGGATGTCACATAGACAAAAGGTAATGTAACTTTATATTTCATTCAAGCTTTAAGTTAATTTTATACTTTAGCACGATATCTATTTGTATGCTACAGGGACTAGTTACATCATTGATGGAGCTTTTTAACGAGTCTGAGCATAGGTGTTGTGTGAGGCATATGCACAATAACATGAAGACGGCAGGTCATAGCAGTAAGGGATTGAAAGATCTTGTATGGTCTGCTGCAAAGGCAAGCAATGTGACTGAGTTCAATAAAGCAATGAAAGAGATTTATGAAAAGTACCCTACAACTCATGATTGGTTGCGGAAGAAGCCACCCAAACAATGGTCAAGATCACACTTCAGTACCAATTCAAAGTGTGAAATTTTGCTCAATAATATATGTGAAAGTTTCAACCGCTACATTTTGGATTTGCGTGACAAGCCTATTCTTACTATGGTAGAAAGTATACGATCCAGGATAATGAAACGGTTCTTTGTTAAACGCACACTTGCAGATAAGTATAAGGGACCCCTTTGTCCAAGGATTCAAAAAAGATTGGACATGAATAAAGAATTATCAAGCAAGTACTGGCCCGAGCCTTCTTCATGCAAGCATTTTCAAGTTAGAAGCATTGGAAATCAGTACATAGTTGATTTGCAAGATTACACATGTAGCTGCAGAAATTGGGACCTCTTTGGAATACCTTGCCCTCATGCCATTGCGTGTATCTTTTACAACAAAGATAAAGTTGAGTTGTATGTCAATGGTTGTTATCATGTGTAGACACAAAAAAAGATATATGAACAAGTTATCATGCCTATTAATGGTGAGTTACAGTGCCCATATTCAGATTTTAAGCCAAGACTGATGAATATTCATACATATATCAACAAAACTCCATATGCGATATATATATATATAAATATATAATAGCTAAATCCATATAAATCCATGAAATCAAATATGTATGAACTAAAATTAGAATCATACCTTGAGAATTCATTTGCATTATCACTTTAAGAAGAACCC